CAGATGGGCTAGTTTTTTTGTTTTGATTTGAACAAAGTTGATTTTGTGTACAATGATTCTTTGACAGTGTGCAAAGAGTGCGTATCATTTTGTCATATTTTTATGCATTTCAGTTTTGAGTAGAATGAAAGAGATAGGACCAAAACATTCTAGTACATTCGGTGAAAATGCTAGTTCAATCTAGTAGTAGTGTTGCCATGTGGTACAATCCAGTAGTAGTGGTGTTGCCATGTGGTACACTGAAAAATTGCAATAGCAGGTTAGTCACCAAAGTTTTCGAGCCGCTCCGTCTGTCACTTCGTTTGTGTTATAACTCTGTAGTCTGAACGTACTATTAGCCATCAGCAGCGAGTCATTCAAACAGTTTTTAACATCTTGGTTCGATTTTGTCTTTCTGGACGCCTTGAATAAATTTTCGTATTTGCGGAATAATTTCGATTGCCCTCTGAACAGCACCACTATTATTCAGTCATCGGTGGCCGCAAAACTTTAATGGGAATATGGTAGATCCGGAATACATTGTGAAAAATAATAAACTAGGCAGAGCAATTGGAAAAGAACTTCTTTATTGAACGAAGGTTTGTGAAGGAATGAATAAATTAGTGACACGAATCTTCATGGGTTGCTACATGCTTGTTGTTTAGACAGAGTTGATCGGTTGCTACTCAACATCCCCGCTCAACCGAACAATCCCAGCTTTTCTCGAAGAAATGTGAACGGTCCTTTTGGCAAGGCCTTCGTGAATATATCAGCTGCTTGCTCATTGGTCGGTACGTACATTATCTTGAAAGCACCTTCTTGAATCTTCTTGCGCATAAAGTTGTATCGAATATCTATGTGCTTCATATGTCTATGGTCTCGGGGCTCCTCAGCTATTCGAATGCAAGATTGATTATCTTCAAATATTGGTATGGGATGCTCGAACGTAGAACCAAATTCGCACAGCAAGTTACGCAGCCATATTGCTTCACACATCGCTTGACTAAGGGAAACATATTCCGCTTCTGTTGACGACAGGGCTACAGTTGCTTGCTTCTTTGTATTCCAGGATACCGTCGCACCATAAACTTGGAAAACGTTCCCGGAAATTGATTTTCTGTCCTCTCGATCATTGCCCCAGTCGGCATCGGCATAACCCTTCAAAGGAATCGCATCTTCTCGTCGCTGATAGACTAAACCAAAATTGATCGTCCCTTTCAAGTAGCGCAGCAGTCGTTTCAGGTGGTTCCAATGGGTGTCAGTAGGGAAAGCTTGAAATCTGCTGAAATAACTTACAGCTGCGCTTATGTCCGGCCTTGATGATATCGTCAAGTAGGTCAGACATCCAATCAATTCGCGATACGGGTGTGTTGTTGGGTTGTCATCCTTGTTGGTGTCCAGCTTCAAATTCGGGTCCATTGGGGTACTAACGGGGTTACAATCCTCCATACCAAATCTTCTCAACATGTCTGCAATGTATTTCGGTTGGCTGATCTTCATTCTTCCAGTCTTGAACGTCTTCTGTTTCTAGTTGTTCCTCTCGGCAATCATTATCTCCAAATGGCATCGGCATCGACTTCACTGTAGCTTCAACGACTTGTCGCTCGTCGAACACAACATCACGAGACGTGAATATCTTCCTCGTTCTAGGGTCCCAAATGCGATATCCATTCGTTGTATATCCTACCATCACATTCTTCGAGGTTTTAGAGTCCAGCTTGTCACGTTTTTCTTTGGGTATCCACGTATACGCAATCGATCCAAAAACGCGCATCTTGTCTACGTTTGGTTTCTTGCCATACCAGATTTCATATGGAGTTTTCTTTTCTTGAAGAGCAGACGTCGGACTTCGGTTCAACACATATGCAGCAGTCTGCACAGCTTCGCCCCACATTGATTTAGACAATTCAGCATCTTGCAGCATCGACCGGGCCTTCTCCGACAGTGTTCTATTCATCCTTTCTGATACTCCATTTTGTTGTGGACTGTACGGCACCGTGAATTCCAGTTGAACTCCTTCAGCACGACAGAAACTTCGAAACGATTTGCTGCTGTATTCTCCTCCGTTATCGCACCTGAGACTAGCTATTTTCACGCCGAAGAATGCTGTCACCTGGGCATGGTAACGCTCGAACATCTTTTGAACTTCGTCCTTTGACTCCAACAAATAGACTACGGTGAAGTGGCTAAAATCATCGATGAACGTTACATAATATCGCTTTCCGTTCCAGGTAGTCGGAGTGAATGGTCCGCACACATCCGAGTGGACCAATTCTAGCAGTCGGCTTGAACGTCGTTCCGTCGATTCTTCAAATGCTTGCCTAGTCTGCTTCCCAGCCAAACATATTTCGCAGATACAACTATTTGGCCAGTCTTGAATTTTCGAAGAAGTTTCAACCATCGCATTCTTCCACAGACTCTTCAGATTACCTGCGCCAAGATGACCATACCTTCTATGCCACAAATCGAACCCATCGCTTTTGAACACCATCGCACTTGCGCATCCTGCCTCACTTCCGTCTCGGACAAAAATATCTAACGCATACAATTGACCCAATCGCCGACCAGTACAGACAATACGACCGTCCTTTTCTATAGTCACCTTTCCGCTGACGATCTTGACTGTCATATCATTATCTTCCAATCTCCGCACCGAAAACAGGTTGCATTGTAGCTCCGGCACGTATAATACCTCGTTTACCACGGCAGGTTGCTTCTTTCCATCGACCAGCATATCCACTCTTACGGTACCAGCGGTTTCAGCAACAATAACTTGGCCAGACTTCGCAACAGCTATGTGCATTTTACATTTCAACGAATGTAATTCTTCGAACAACGATTTGTCTTTCAACATGTGATCAGTGGCGCCTGAGTCCAGGAACCACTCTATCTTCCGATTCTTCGACGAAGTCAGCAATGCACCACTGCCAGCGCTCGTAGTCGCAATGAAGGCCACCTCATTTTCGCTCGTAACATTCGCTCCAGCTTTCTGCCGTCGTCCAAATTTGCCTCCAGATTTCCAGTTCTTCTCTCGATCCTTTCTGTCGACTTGACGGTTCTCAGGACATTCAGCACGCTTGTGTCCAACACGACCGCAACCGTAACACTTGTAGCCAGCTTTTCTTCCAGCGAACGCAGATTCACCACTGCCGTTTTCTTCGTAATTCGTTGAACACTTACCGGACCGCTTCACTTGCTCATCCAACAAACGTTTCTTGACGTATTCGAGAGTTAATTGATCGGGCTGAATGGTTTCCAAGGCAGTAATCAGAGCTTCATAAGATTTCGGCAGGGCTAACAAAAGTTGACAGACGACGTCTTCTTCTTCAGTCTTCACTCCTGCAGCTTTCATCTCACGAAGTACCTTCTCGAACTGGAGCAAAAATGACTTGATGTTCTCTTCTTCCTTGAGCCGCAACTCTTGAAACTGCTTCCGTAAGAATAGTTTTCCAGCGATTCCGACCCTTTCAAAGGCGTTCTTGAGCGCATCCCAAGCTTCCTTCGCAGTTCTCTTATCCTTCACATATTCCAGCTGATCTTCGGCTATACGGTGAATTAACAGGTTCTTGCATTTTCTGTCCTTGGCCATCCGCTCGTCCAGTAGCTTCTTCTTCCGCTGCTTCTCTTCAGCAGTATCACCCGGAAGTTCCCTCGCGTACTCTTCGTCAGCAACAGCCTTCTCCAGACACTCCAGCAAGCCTTTGTCTTCCATCAATACTTCTATTCTGAACTTCCAGTTCCCGAAGTTTTCGCCGTTAAACAGCCAGAGTTTGTCGTCGCTCATCTTGAAGTCTTCTTCCGTACGAATCAAACGACCGTTACTTCACTATCGATTCCGGTTCCGCTCTGGGCCCATAACCTAATAAACTAGGCAGAGCAATTGGAAAAGAACTTCTTTATTGAACGAAGGTTTGTGAAGGAATGAATAAATTAGTGACACGAATCTTCATGGGTTGCTACATGCTTGTTGTTTAGACAGAGTTGATCGGTTGCTACTCAACAAAAAACGCTCGTCTTGCTGGTACATCTTTGAAGATATTGAAGATACCTCGCAAATATTTGACAACATCCCAACTGGTACTGCGAACACGATCCTTGAATGCATTTTGCAAAATATGCAGCCCACAGCTTCCCAGATCTATCAGCTTCTCACCACCTTTTTGTACCTCTAGCTTCAATTCACATTGAGCCCAATTTCCTCAACAGTACCACTGAAGAGTCAAAAAGGTTCAGCCGATTAACACTGAGTTCATATGTGACGTCACGCTGCGGAACCTAATTCGAATTGTCAAACGGGCGATTCGAACTTTCAAATGGGCGATCAGATCTGTCAAACGAAGTGATACGGGCACGAGTTTGAAAGTAGTTTGTATGAGCTGTCACGCCGGTTCGTCGGTGATTGAATGTCGGAATCAGGTCGTTGTCTCTATTTACGATGACTTTTAGAAGACATTTGATACTGTTCCAGGTGACTGCGGATCGAACTGATCCAACGGGAATATGATTATCCGAATGCAAAAAAAAACCACTTGAGAGAGGTATTTTATAATTTTTAACGAAGTAGGGGTAAGAGGAGCATAATGCACAGGTGGGGCATAGTGAGCATCCCGAGCTTTGGCTCTGGATCTCCAGCTGCATGAAACAAATCAACTGGTAGTAGGTTCAATATCATTGTGATATTGATCCTACCACAAACCAATTTGTTCCGAATGGCCGAAAGTCCAAGCTGGTGCACGGGATGCTCACTATGCCCCTCTTACTCCTACTATCATGTGTATGAATCCGTCTTTAAGTACCGATCGTTTCTTCGAGTCTGCAGCCTTTTCAAAGCATGTTGATAGTAATAGTTTCTACAGCATGCAACAAATGAATAAATTCAACCTACTTTTTACCACCACTACAACAAGACCGACACCAGAAAAGTTCCACCTCCAATCGGAAGGCTACCCAGTGGAAAAGACCGATATTTTCCCCAGCAAATCGCAACACAAAATATCTGCCCTTTCCTGCTGTACACTCACCTTCCAGTTCGGGGGTCGACGCGCGCCTTAAACCGGCCGGATTCTTCGCGCCTCCGCGAGGGGGGCTCAAACTGTACAACGTCAAGGTGAACATATCCTTCGTTCTGTCGCTAGTTTTCCGTACCAACTAAAATGTAGCAAAGCAACAAACACGTCATTATGCCTCGTCCCCGCGGAAAATTCAATTGTGATTAGTAACAAATCATAAGGGCCCAAACTTACATCCATCTTCATCTTCTTGTACTCCGGCGGAAGTGAAAAGAGCAAGTGCTTCCGCAGGTGGCACTCCGGGATCTTGAGCAGATTCCGCTCCAACAGGGCCGGCTTCAGCGAAATTGTTCGCATCGGTGCTCCTCCTACGGCCATAACCACCATTCCACTGCCGAAGGCTGTAGGTGCTGCTGTTGATGAGTCGGATGGCATTCCGCATTCGCTCAATTTGTCTATGGATGGAGTTCGTGCGAGATCCGAAGGCGTTTGCTTTCCGAGGGATTCTCGATCCACGCCAATGCCTTCATCCTCCATGCTGAGTCGGGATGGCCACTGCTGCCCGGAGGGGTCTTGGTTGGCGGTGGCACCGTCGATGGTTTGATTTTCCAGGGCCATCAGTTCCGGTTCCGGGGAGGATTCTTTCGATTTCGAGAATTCTCCCCGATCATGTTCGGAGATGATCGAGATTATAATCGATCGGGATGGGTCGTGCGGAGGCTGTGTTGATTCTGTTGCAGAATTGTCCGGCTCTGTGTTCTGACTGTCGTCCAGGTGTCCACTATCGTCGAAAGGAGTGGAATCGGACTCCTCAGCCGGAACTTCAATGGAGCTTTCGCTTGACGGGCTCTGATCAATAGCTGTCGATGATAGAACATTGGAGAACGAAGCTTCCTCGGTGCTCGTCTCCATCGTTGCCCACAACTCAGCATCCTTTCCCCGATCGGCAAATTTGCTCTGCATCAATTCCAGGATCGGATCCCTCCGGTAGTTGCTACTCCTTGCCTTATGCAATTCATTGTCGAAATCTGCCGTATCGTCAATATCTATTCGGTACTTATTCTTCAGGTAATCCGGAGGCATGTAAATCTTAAACTCCCGCGGTTTCAGCGGAAAGACCTTTTCCGGCGCCTCTTTACCAGCCCGCTCGCAATGTTCTCTTTCGTATTCATGCTGCTCGAACAGATAGTCAATCACGTCGCAACGCTGGAAGAACTTCTTCAGATCGTGTTCCGGTTTCAACGAGCCCGTCTTGACATCGATGAAGTTCAAAAAGATCTGGTAGTCGTATCGGGTTCCGATAGTTTCTCCTGACTCTAGATCCAAAATTTGATTCTTCCTGGCTGCCGTATGACTGGACAAAATCGGCGCAATGTTCGCCTCGTCCCGCAATCGATTCAGGATTTCCTGCCTCCGTTGCTTACTTGGCATGGTTCTTAGCTCGTTGCAGAACTCCTGCATCTGCTGGAACTTGTTCCGCCGATCGACCGTGACACGTTCCAGCTTGGTCACGAGCGACCCAATCGGAGCCGTTTTCTTGTCCACAAAGCTAAAATCCAAATCGCTGAAGCAATCCGACAACGACTGCGGTTGGAAGCGAGCTGCTCGCTTCCTCCCTGCAGGTTTACTTTCCTTTTGATCCGTCTCCGTACCCTCATCCCGTCCCTTCTGGTCGTGGTCCATGTGTAAAATAATTTCCTCCAAATAATCCACCTTCCGGCCGTAGATCTGGGCTGAACTCATGACCAACATCGCTGCCTCCGGAAAGTTTGTCTCCTCCTTCTCCCGCAGCGTCTCGTACCGGCCCAGCCATTTCTGCAGGTCGAAATCGAAACAACGATCTATCTTCTCCGACACCTTGAAAAAAAATACCAGTCTTTCACAATTCCTCACATTTCAATCAAAACAATTTCACCTCCATAAACATCAGCGCGATTTCCTCCCGGTTGAGATTCTGATGTTCCCGGGGATCTTCCTTCCTCGCCACCGACGATCCATAACTCCGTACGACCCTCGCCCTCTTCGGACTACCTACTCCGCCACCACCGCCCTTCGTAGGCGAACGCTTTTTATTGGCTGATTCCGGTTGCTGATGCGGATCCTCGTGACCACCTTCCCTCAGCCGACGGAGCTCCAAAGCGTTCAATTTTCTGAAAGAAATCCACCATTAATTCCAATTTCCCTCGCAATTAACAAACCCTAGCAAAACTGCGAGCTCTAATCTAGACTAACATTTGAAAAGGGCGTAATTCCAAAATGACCATATTGAGAAAATCGCTTCTGAATTTTGATGACCTAAAAATTAATCCTATTTCACGACTTTCCATTTTCTGGATGATTTTATAAGCTTGGCATATAGTTAATAGTGTAATCTATCATCATGCATCACTAAAAACTCAAAAAAAGTTTTCTTTGTCGTGAAATCGAGAAGAAAACATCATACGCCCTGATAATTTCATACATGTTGTTACCCCCCGGATCTTCCACCCTTTGAACTGCCAACACTGGTGATACGCCGTGGAAGTACATCCTCGGGATTTTTTGTTTGTTGTTCCGCCTTGGTTCTTCGTTCGCAAATTTTGTGAGAGTGGAATTACGCCCGGAGATTTTTTTGGTCTTCTTTTTGTTCGTTGTTTACACGTGAACTATCAATCGGATGCATTTCAAATGAATCGGGCGTGACTAGATACTACAGACTCAACACGTTTGACATATTAAAACGATATAATTCGTAGTTCTGGTGCAAGGCGTAACAACCAGATGCATCATAGAGTTGAAAGTTGGAAATACGCCATGTAAGAAGAAACGTTTTTGATGATTTGAAGTGATATTTTCTTCTACTTTTTCGTGTTTATCGAGAAGTTTGTGAACTATTCTCTCTATATGTGGCAAAATATGGTTTGTTTACATTTTGGCTCTTCCGCCCCTTTCAAATGTTAATCTAGTAATTATTGCACAATTCCACCTCCTCGGCCCTTACTGGAACTTTCACCACCCCAGGGAGTGTGTTCTTGGCAGCTACTTTTTCGTGTCCATTTTTCACCCGGAAAACAAACCCCCCCGGATCGACCGCTTACCTCTTCATATTTCTGGTACATTCGGGTTTAACTTTACGCAAAAATTCTACTTTAAAATCATTTTAAATCGCCAATGTTTGTAATTAATCCGCACTATAGCACTCACGCAACCATAACAAACCAGGGCGCCATTTTTGTTTTTGCACTCTTCGCAGCCATCATCGATGATTGCATGTGAAAATATGTGGAACACGTTTTGGTCAAAATAGCGAAGCGATGACGTGGACAACCCTGCGCGCTCTTATAAATGCTTCGAATACGGTACTGAAAAACAACACAAAAATTGAGTTAAATGCATCCATACACGGCCGTTCAATATCACTCTGAGAGAGAGAGTGTCACTTCTACTCAGATCGAGACGCAGATAAAAGAGAAATTTTTAAAAACGTAGATTACTCCCCAACAAACAATTTAAGCTGCAGATTAGCTTATACAGCCAAAATTTGCCTTATGCAGCTAATTTTTGCCTGTATAAGCTAATCTGCAGCTAAAATCTAGGGGCATCCCACTCTAAACTCTATACCTAATATCAATAAAATATTTGTAAATCCCACGTAAGTATTCTTAAGTATTTTTAAGTATTTAAACCATGGCTATAAATTTCCATCGAAGTAACACTTATTTTTTGATGACCGGTTGCTAGTGCATGTGTTTGTTGTTGACTTGTTGTTGTCGGTCGTCTTGTATTTATACAAATAGGAGTGTTAAGTATTTTTATTATGAGTATAAAATAGTATTATTTAATTTATATTTTTCAGCGATTCAGTTTGTAAAAATGCTTCAAAAGCTAGTTACAAAGAATGATGTTTTCAGCACCGACAAATTTTCAGTACAAATTTAACGGTGTTTACCGATTGACTCGAGCGGGACGACTCTATCTACGATGCAAAAAAGATTGTGTTTTGCTGTGGCTAGCTGCACGCACGCTGGTAGATTGAAAGAAGATTGATGACGATTCTGAAGATTTCCTGCAAAAAGATGATGCACGATGCAAGTAGATGCGACAAATGAAAGAAGATTTTCGAAGATTGTTTCGCTAGTGTGAGATTTGTTGAGCATCTAAACTTGAGATTTAGATGTGTCTGTTAGAGTATCCGAATCGAAGCAACCAGTGATTCCCTGTTCTAGTATATAAGTGATACCTGTAATAAAGAAAATTTAGTCATTTGTCTACCGCTAAACCGTTCAGTCGAACTTCTTTGCCCTTCCGAATAGTCCAATAGGTTATGGGCCCAGGACAACCGTCGCATAGCAACGTTTGAATTTGTTTGAAGATTTTTTTTCACTTCAGTGTGAAAATTCTGGAAGTTCCATGGAAGGCAACAAAGTGTCGGTTGTTAAACTGAACAATTCCAACTATTCGGTTTGGAAGTTCAAGGCGGAGATGCTGCTGACCAGGGAGGACCTGTGGCGGTACATCGAAGACGCGGCTCCAGAACCGGTGACGGAAGGCTGGAAATCCGGTGACCGGAAGGCAAGAGCGACGATTGCGCTGCTTGTCGAAGACCAACAACACATGCTGATTCGCGAAACGAAGAACGCCAAGGAAGCCTGGGAAAGCCTCAAGAAACACCACGAAAAAACATCCCTTGGTTCCAAGGTTGCGCTGCTGAAACGGATTTGCAACATATCATTCAACGACGGGGACGACATGCAGAATCATCTTTTCGAGCTGGAAGAGTTGTTCACGAAGCTGTCGTGCGCTGGACTGAACCTGGGTGAAGCGTTAATGGTCGCCCTCGTTCTTAGGAGCCTGCCTGATTCGTTCGATACGTTGACCACGGCCCTGGAAAGCCGGTCCGATGAGGAGCTGAAACTGGAGCTGGTGAAAGGGAAGCTGTTAGATGAAGTGGCGAAGAGACGAAGTCAAGGTTCTTCAAGTTCAGCGATGAAAGCAGGATTCCAGAAGAAGAAGAAGAAGCCGTTAACGTGCCATTTCTGCAAGAAACCTGGACACAAGCAATCGGAATGCAGGCTGTATGCGAAGGAATCGGTTGACGGTAAGGAAAAATCCCCGAAGGTGAAAAGCGTGCGCAGTGAAAACGAAACCGTTACGTTTGCTTTGGGAGTGCATGAGCAATCGGACCATGCGGAATGGATTGTGGATTCAGGTGCGTCCGCGCACATGTGCTGTGACTCCGATTTTTTCGAGGAAATCCAGAAGAGCCAAGTGAAAACCGTTACTCTGGCTGATGGAAAAGTTGCGAAGGTCGAAGGTGCTGGTAGCGGAAAAATTTCGTGTTACCATGGAGACGGAAAAACAACCGATGTGTCTCTAAGCAACGTGTTGTTTGTTCCAAGCTTGGAAATGAACCTGATGTCAGTGCCAAAGCTCACAGAGAAGGGAGCTGCTGTGATGTTCGACGCTGGAGGATGTCGTGTTCTTGTTGGTGGTACCGTGGCAATTGTCGCCGAGAAAACAAGTGGCCTTTATAAGGTGAAAACGACTTGTGAAGTTTCGATGGCTGTGAACGACCACCACGAAGTTGATTGTCAGCACGTCTGGCACCGAAGATTTGGACATCGGGATCCTGAAGCTCTAAGCGTGATGCTGAAGAAGAATCTGGTGACCGGCTTGAAGGTGTACGACTGCGGAGTCAAGCAAGGATGCGAATGTTGTCAGCGAGCGAAGCTATGCAGAAAGTCATTCCCTAAATCGGTCGAACGCAAATCTCGTGCAATGCTGGACATTGTGCACACAGACGTTTGTGGCCCGATCGACAATGCATCAGTGTCTGGTTATCGGTACTTCATGACCGTCATTGATGACTACAGTCGATTCTGTGTGCTGTATCTGCTGCGGAAGAAGGAGGAGGTTCCAGAGAAGCTGAAGGAATATGTGGCATACGTGAAAACCCAGTTCGGACGAAAGCCGAAAGCCATCCGGATCGACCAGGGTGGTGAGTACACCGGAAACGAGCTGATGAAATTCTACAAGCAAAAAGGAATCAAGCCACAGTTTACCGCCAGCTACTCTCCCCAGCAAAATGGAGTCGCCGAGAGGAAGAACCGGTACCTGGTCGATATGAGTCGCTGCATGTTATTCGATGCAAAGCTTCCGGAGTGCTACTGGGCAGAAGCCGTAAGTACTGCTGTCTATTTACAGAACAGGTTACCATCTAAGTCAATTCCCAAAACACCGTTCGAGCTTTGGACTGGAACAATGCCGGACGTAGCGCATTTGAAAGCATTTGGATGTGCTGCATTCGTTCACGTCCCCAAACAAAAGCGCAAGAAAATGAATCCGACAGCAAAGAAGCTAACGTTTGTTGGATATTCGTTGGACCATAAGGCGTATCGTTTTTTGGATCGATCTACAAGGAAAGTAATCGTCAGCCGAGATGCCAATTTCGTTGAGGAGGAGCACACCGCGTCGGAAGTGTCCGAGCGTTCCTTGGACCGGGCAGTGGAATCGCTACCAGTGGAAGAGGTGATTGAATTCGAATTCAGCAAACCAATCAACACTGATGTCAATCCAGTCGGTGAGATCGAGGAAGAAAATTCGAACGATGAGAGCTCAAGTATCTCGTCGGACGATTCAGAATACGATGACGAATCGGATGATGGAGATGCCACATTGATCGAGGACGACGACGATGAAACATGTCAAGTCAGGAGATCGAGCCGAACCACGAAAGGTATCCGACCAGCTCGATATAGTGAGACAGTCCAAGCAGCATCTAGTGGCGAACGAGAGCCACGAAACTACCGTGAAGCAATCAATGGGATCAATCGTGAGTATTGGATGGCAGCGATGGATGAGGAATTCCGGTCGTTGATGGAGAATGACACTTGGGAGATTGTTGATCTGCCCGAGAACCGCAAGCCCGTTGGATGCAAGTGGGTGTATAAGCAGAAGGAAGACACCACAGGAAACGTTGTCCGGTATAAAGCCAGGCTGGTTGCGCAAGGCTTTTCACAGAAGTATGGGACCGACTTCGATGAAGTTTTTGCACCTGTAGCTCGTCAAGTTACGTTTCGGACGTTATTGACCATCGCAGCAGAACGTAAGCTTCTGGTGAAGCACCTGGACATCAAGACGGCGTACTTGTATGGAGCTTTAAAAGAAGAGGTCTACATGAAGCAGCCGCCAGGATACGAAACCAAGGGTCCGAATGGAACGGGCGTGTGCCGGCTCAATCGCAGTCTATATGGGTTGAAACAAGCGGCAAGAGTATGGAATCGGACGATTGACGATGTCTTTAAGAAAGCTGGATTTTGTCAGTCGGTGGCAGATGCGTGCCTCTACGTCCGGACAACGAAGGGACAGAAATCGTTCATCCTCATCTATGTTGACGATATTCTTGTCGTGTGCCACAGCGAAATAGAGTTCCGTGAAGTAGTTCACGATTTGCAACGATGCTTCAAATTGACAGTCTTGGGCGACATTCAAGTGTTCCTTGGAATTCAGGTAACTAAATCCGCCAACGGTTACCGTTTAAATCAACAGGCATACATATTGAAACTTGCCGGCCAGTTTGGTCTCTCGGAAGCCAAGGGCTCGAAAATTCCAATGGATCCCGGATATCAGCAAAAGGAGGAGAATTCGGCGGAGCTACCAAAAGGCGACCTTTATCAAAGTCTGGTAGGAGGTTTGCTATATATCGCGGTAAACTCACGGCCGGAAATTTCCATCAGCGCTTCAATTCTGGGACGGTCCGTTAGTAAACCGAGGACCAAGGATTGGATTGAAGCCAAAAGGGTGCTGCGGTACCTTGTCCACACACGAAATTTCGCGGTGCAGCTTGGATCATCGAACGCTGCATTGATGGTCTATTGCGATGCTGACTGGGCCGGGGACACCCGAGATAGAAAATCAACGTCTGGATTTCAAATCTTCCTCGGTAATGGCGTTGTGAGTTGGGCATCAAGAAAGCAGTCATGTGTGGCGCTTTCGTCCACTGAGTCTGAATTCATCACCCTGGCTGAGGCTTGTCAGGAAGTGCAATGGTTGCTGAAATTGCTGAAGGACCTAGGGAAGCAAGTCAATCATCCCATCTGCATACGTGAGGACAATCAAAGCTGCATTCGGCAGGTAGAGAACGAGAAAGTGGATCAGTGATCGAAACACGTGGATACGAAGTACTGTTTCGTCAAGGATCTGAAGAACAAGAA